ACTTCCTCCGAGACAATACAAAGTCAAATGGAGACCCGGTAGATGCGTAAGCCAGAGACGATGTCACTCCAATAGATGCTCCTTTGTCACAGGCCTTTGATGACAAGAATGTGAAGTTGTTGAACACTCAATTCCTAGGTTCAATCTGCAGGGTAAGAGCGGCCAGTCTTTGTGGACCTATGGGTTGCGTAGATCTGTAACCAGGAGCGAGAGCCAATAAGCTCCCAAGCATTCACTATGTTATCATAATTGCATTTATATGGTGCTTGCTTAATCGCCTCTGGCAACTCAGAGTTTTCTATCGTATCTCTTTTCAAACACTCGAAGAGCATCCCCAAGTAGCAGCTGCCCCTGTGTGGCACAAGGTGGTGGCCCTGCACCGGCCTGCATTTGGACAAGAGCCTGTCAGTAGTGGGCGATGGTTGATGTGGCATCTCAGTTGTGGAGTTTGTAGGTAATGCTTAGAATTTGATATATTTTGACCCAGACACCAGCATTCGTTTTGAATGGCGCAATAGTATTTGTTAAAATGATTGTCAATAATTTAGACTGAATACTTGTCTGATGGTGTGCGTACATGTAACATTTTGTTTCTAAGGGTCAAACATTGAATAAGTCATGTTAGGACAAAGAGTGTGTTTTGGAATAACCTATAAAGATAACGCAGGTGAGACTCCTTGTTCTTATGATACAGGTCAAAGGGTACTTTTGTGTTTTCAGGAGACGTCTTCTCATTGTCTTTTAAATAGGGAGCACACTCGGATCATTCATCAGTTACAAGGCATACCACTCAAAAGTTAGACGTAGAGGAGATACATTCTCTATAACACGAATTATAATTTAGTCTTACCTGTTGACGTAGATTTTGTCTAACTAGGACTAGAAATGCTCCTTGCTGATTAATATCTGGATGTTCGTAACTATCGGTTGAAACAAGCCCGGCTGCTGTTGAGACGCTGTGCACCAATAAGGGTCCACAGGTGGCTTGCACTGAATCAATGACGCACTCCCAGAAGGCTGTGCTAGTTATAGTTTGTGTAAAACATTCCCTTGTTTGGTGGAGAGATCGATAAATGAAAGATGTTGTCTGCTGATCTGCTTCATAGCAAGGAGGTAATTTTTAGAGCACATTTGAAATGCATTTTTGGTACAGATTTGTATTCGTTTACACGGCAGAGCACATCTAGTAGATACATTCTCCAGAACAACACTCATTCGAATTTTGCATGACGTCTTATATGTTGGCGAACTAGGACAAGAAATGGTCCTTGCCGATTAACGTCTGGATGTTCACAACCATGGGTTGAAGCAAGCCTAACCGCCTGCGGCGTCCCTCACAAACATTTACGGCCTTGGGCCAGGAAAGTTACGAAAAAAATTTGCGCACAAACGATGCATTCATGCAAACTCCCGATGCTTCGTTTTATTGTTTTAAAATGAAATAACTTTGAATTTTATTATGTTTTGAATTAAATAAATGTATTTCTTCATTAAAGCTTATATAATTTTACATCTGGAAGACTTCATTGAAAACGACATTTTGTGTGAATTTTCTCTAGTCGTTAAGTAGATGGCCTTACCGGGGTTCGGTTCGATGCGGACTTTCACCTGGTTGGGATCGCGGGGTGGAGATAAGGCGACATAGAGCTGGCCGTGCCAGAAGATCGCCGTCTGCAGATCGATTCCAACGTGATCGAACGTCTTGTCTCTGCTCCTCCGTCGTTCATGCAGGGGGCGCATAGGTTTGCAGCGCCCCCTGCATGAAAACGAAGGAAAGTGCAGGGTTCATCACAGATAGATGAACTGTGCTTATATAGGAGTACTAGCAGGAAGTACCTGGCGTTGCCCGGGCGAAAAAAACACACATGGACTTAGACACACAAACATCGACCCACACACAAACACATCGAGTTCCATACACACAGACATTCGCTTTAGATAAACAAACATGGAGTTACACACACGAATCGACGTACACACATACAGCGACTCACACGTAGACTTTCACACTCACATGGACCGAAGCACACATGGATTTGCACACATCGACTTGGAGACACACACATGGACTCGCACACATACATATGTTGAGGTGCAAATGACGACGCGGAGGCAGGTCTTCAGTTAAGGGCTTGGCCAGTTATTTATTAAGTGCTTCGGGTAACTTCCCCAGGGGTAGGGGTCCTTCACTAGGTCCTTCACACGAACCTTTATGCTGTCTGTTCCTAGCTCGGCTAGCTCCAGGGCTCTCTCCCTTGAGTCGGATCGGGGGGTTCAGCCAACACCGACCGACCGAGGAGAGCAGCACCTTCTATCACTACGGCCGGCTTCTCTCCAGACTCCCTGAGCTCTACCCCTGGCTGGCTCTTCAACTGCTCTCTATCCCGGGCTCCCACAGTAACCCCCCGTTCGTCACGCGGTCCCCCTTAAGCAACTTCACACATGGTGTTGTACCAGATGACTCCAAAAAGTGCACCAACACCATGTGAAACTAGGACAGTGCATACATTATCAGAGTTATGTTTTTGTTTGCATTATGACTGCAGGTGTTGTGGTCTATGCAAATGTAAAGTATGAACTTGTCGGGAGACGACTTCACGGGTTGCACACCTTTATTAACGTCAACTTCTCTTTACACGGGTGGCTAAGTACAGCCTGACACACAAGGCTCCCTAACTTCTCTTTACACGGGTGGCTAAGTACAGCCTGACACACAGAGCTCCCTAGGCTACACCCTCACGGGCTCTTACACCCCGTAGCTCTTGGAACCCACCTAACCGGGGTATCCGTCTCGACTCTGGGTCCCACAGCCTCGTCCCACATGGACGTCAGACCACGGGTCCCACAGCCTCGCCTCCGAACCACACAGCGTCCTGGCCCTTATAAGGACCGCGGGACCAGGGGTTTCGGGGCCCTATCTCTTCAGATTCGTCTTCGATCTTCAACTGGTTATCAACTCCCCGAGTGCTCCCTCGCGTCCTCCTTTATAGCCCTAAATGCGGACGTCGTTGAGAGCACCCACCCCAGTTGGCCAATCACTGCGTACTCCCTACGATCCTCTTTCCCACATGATGTCAGCGCGCACAACCACGCACCTCGCGCCGCCCCGTGATCCATCACTGTCGGCGCGTGTCAACAGCACCCCTCTTGACGTAGCCACGCCCGGCGCGCTCATACGCACGCCGCCCCTTTTGTCAGCACGTACCACCACTACATCACCCCCTACCACATAGCTCGCAGCCGCCCCGGCTGCTAATAATTTTTGTTTTTACCCTCCCTTATGTGTGTGTGCCCCGTAACGTAAGCAATAATCACAACAACACGACCCAACACAACACAATAAAACTCCGCAATCCGCAAGAACAGAACAAGGAACCGAACAACAAGAACAATATGTATAACCCGACGAGCGACAACAATAAACGTATATACACTAAAAAAAATTGACTCGTGCAGTGTCCCTTCCTTTCCGATCGCCCCTTGAACGGGACATTATACCGGCAGGAGGGGGGCGTGGTGACGAGCTGCAACCTCGGCCCCCAGTTTATTAAATATAAAAAAAAAATTTCTCTTTTATTTTTTCACGAAAAGTGTTGTGACCTAGCACGAGTCCGCCTGGCCGGTCCGTCGTACGGTGCTAGACGCGGTTGATCGTCCCGTGGTGCCGGCAGTCCAGGGAGGCATGGGCCAGGCATCGGTGATCCGCGCGTGCCTCGGGGTTCCGGTTCACGACGATCAGTAGCCGTCAAGTCCGAGACACCTGGGAGTGGGTCAGGCGGAGACACGTGAGGATCAGACTGCGACACATCCCTCCCCGGGTCGACGGCCACATCACACGCTCGGTCGTTACGACACAAGGGGAGACCATGCGGTGCCGCGAAGGGTTTCAGCCGGGAGGGGTGTACATACCAACGGCGTTTTCCCCATTTAATCTGGATACTCTGGGGTCGCGCAATGCGCACGATTTCCACAGGTCCCCTCCATGGTCTCAACAGTTTAGGGGACGTAGCTAACGGTGCATGTGGGCAGTGCAGCCAGGCCTTATCGCCTGGTTTCCAATCGTGCGTATACACCTTTCTCGCGTGCAATCTCTCGTTAGCGACCTGGCGAGACCTCGAATTCAACCTCGCAGCCTCTCGCGCTTCAGCCAATTTGGCGATATTAAATTTGATGTGGTCGGCCAATTTAGACTTTTTACGAGGCTGGGAAATCCCCAGCTGGACATCCATGGGCGGATCGGCCTCCCGCCCATACATGAGAAAAAATGGGGAAAACCCTGTCGCCGCATGGGGTACCATTCGATAGGCCGCGAGCACCCCGGGTACCTGTAAGTCCCAATCAACCTGATCGTCGCAGACCTGTTGGCACAACATAGAAGTAATCGCCCTGTTTAGACGTTCAACCATGCCATCAGTCTGCGGGTGATACGGGGAGGTACGCACTTTCTTCATCCCCAGCAGGTCGCATACCTCGCGCAACAAAACGCCCGAAAAATTCTTTCCCTGATCCGTCAGCAAGCGTTCGGGGGCGCCTTTGTCCAAAACATAGCCCTGGACAAAGGCGTCTGCCACTGCCGCAGCCGACTGGTTGGCGAGTGGCCACGCCATGGGCCATCGGGTGAAGTATTCAACGCCAACCAGCAGGTACTTGTTACCCCTAGGTGTAGCTGGAAAGGGCCCTAATATATCGAGCGCAACCAATTCGTTTGTGCGTGAAACCTGAATGGATTGTAGCGGTGGATTAGCCGCTATTGGTGGCGGCTTCCTTTGAGCGCAACCCACACATCCCTTGAGGATGTTTGCCACGTCGCTCCCCATACCCGGCCAATAATAGTCTCATTGGAGTAGGGCGAGCGTCTTATGGAATCCCAGATGCATGAGTCGTTCGTGAGCAGCTAGAACGACTCTACCCCGCATAACAGATGGCACAACGAGCGTATGACGCCGGGACATATTGTCCCACTTCATCAGGAGGCCCTGTCTGACCACCCAGGAATTTACCCGCGACTCCCCCTCCCCGGGAGCCTCTGCCTTCCGACGCAACGTGAGCAGGGAGCTGTCGGCCATTTGGAGACGGCCCCACTCAATAAGAGGCAACGCGAGCAACGAGTCCCCGGCCGTAGGAGTGGCGGGCGCATCGACTCGCGGAGCGTCAGTGGCGGCGAGCAAAACTCCCGCGGGGGTGGCGACAGGGGATTTACACCGCGCCGATCCCAGAAGGCATGCACATTCCGAGCGCGGCGACAAACGCGACAAAGCATCCGCATTCGAGTGCCGCAATCCCTTTCGGTAAATAGTCGTAAACTGGTAGTCTTGGAGGACCTCCAGCCATCGGGACAACTGACCGGAGGGTTGCGCCACCCGCATTGCATATTGGAGAGCTGCGTGGTCCGTACGGACAGTAAAATGACGGCCGTAGAGATACGGCCTGAATTGCTGAATAAAAAACACAATCGCCAGCAATTCACGGCGTGTCACACAGTAGCGTTGTTCGGCAGGTGACAAAACTCTGCTACCGTAGGCGACCACCCGTTCGACCCCCCCGACCACCTGTGAGAGCACTCCCCCGATACCCGTATTACTAGCATCCGTGTCAAGCAAGAACGGTTGCGTGAAATCGGGGTAACACAAGGGAGGAGCCCGCACCAAGGCGTCTCGGAGGGAGCAGAACGCAGCCTCTTCCTCCGGCCCCCAGTGAAACCTCACCCCTTTAGCAGTCAGAGCGTGTAGGGGCCTGGCTATGGTGGCAAAATTTTCGACAAAACGGCGGTAGTAGGAGGCGAATCCTATGAAGCTACGGACCTCAGTGACTGAGGTTGGCGTAGGCCATGAGTCGACGCAGTGCGTTTTATCAGGGTCTGTAGAGATCCCAGAACGGCCAACGATATGGCCCAAGTACTTAACCGATTCTCTAAGCAGGTGACATTTGGCCGGTTTAAATTTTAATTTAGCGGAACGCATCCTTAGGAACACCCCTCTCAATCGCTGGAGGTGCTCCTCAAAAGTCCGGCTGAAAACGATGACATCATCTAGGTAAATCAAACAGGTGTCCCATTGGAGTCCTGACAAAACCAATTCCATGAGCCTCTGAAACGTGGCGGGAGCGGAATGTAGCCCCATAGGCAATCGATTGAATTGAAATAGGCCTCCTGGTGTCCGGAAAGCGGTCTTTGGTTTCGATTCCTCATCGAGGGGCAATTGCCAAAATCCCGAGAGCAGGTCAAGCGTTGAAAAAAACTGTGCTCCCGCCAAGGCATCCAGCGACTCATCCATCCTTGGGAGTGGATACGCGTCGGCCATCGATATTTTATTTAGGCGGCGAAAATCCACACAAAATCGCAAGGACCCGTCGTGTTTTTTAACAAGGACAATGGGAGCACCCCACGGACTGGAAGAGGGCGAAATGATGTCGGCAGCCAACATGTCATTAACAGCCGACTGTACATGTTCCTTCTCGGCTGGGCTGAGCCGGAAGAGGTTTTGCCGAATTGGAGCCGCGTCACCCGTATCTATGTGGTGGCGCAACAAGTCCGTGCAGCCAATATCGTACTTGTGTCTGCTAAACACATCAGCGAATTCAAGTAGCAGGCCCCTCAACGCTCCCAACTGCGCACTCGACAAGTTAGCAGACCCAGCACACAACGAGTCCAACCATTCATTCTCCTCCTCTGATGGAGGATGCGTATAGGGGCTAAAATTCGCGTGCGCAACAAACTGTTCCTCTACGGGTAGCGGCGCCGCGTGAGCCAGCACCGTGCCCTGTGTGATGACAGCTGGCCGCGACCCTGTATTCAATACCATAACAAATGGATCCCTGTCCGCCCGCACCATGGTCTGGGCTACCGCTAGGTCGAGGCCCCCAACTGCTCTGTTTGACGGCCCCAACAGAACACCTTGTTCCCCCGTATTTACTCCGAGTGGTTTCCGAAATCGAAGGGGTACCAACATTTGCGATCCCGGGGGCACCCGCACAGTCTGAGTTGCCAGCGCCTGAACCGTTGCACAAACTGTACGTATTTTGGTAGGATTAGTCAAAAATGCAACGCGGCGACCAGATGGAAGCTCGATACAGGCCTGATCAACGAGAATTTTAATGGGCATTTTAGCCAGAAAGTCTGTGCCCAGTAAGCAAGGAACTGCCAGGGATGATGAGACAAAAATAGGACCCGCCGATTTGATATCGCCAATACAAATAGTCGCCCGGATCTGTCCAATAATTCCCAACGATCCCCCGTTCGCCGCGTAAAATGGTACGTCCACCGGAAGAAGAGGTCGACTTTGGACGGGAAGGATGTTATAAATGAGGTCCGAAATGATAGTGGCCGACGCACCCGTGTCCACCAGCACTCGGACCTCAACCCCGTCAATAAACCCCGTTACAACGGACGACCCGGCCGATGCAGCCACTATTCTGTGGGCCAACTCAGACCATTCGACTGCTCCCGGGCCGTGTACGAACCCCCCTCGCCGAAACGAATCCCCGGGCCCCTTATGTGGTCCCCCCACTGCGAAGCGGCGATCCGAGTGTGCCCTGTACGTGGACCGAGCGTGTGTTGTGCCGCGACTTGCCGGGTTTAGCTGGGACGACTTTGGGCCTTGGTCGTCGTCTGGACACGATCCCGTGGCGCGCTGACGTGGAGCCCGGCACCCGGCAGCGACGTGGCCCCGAAGGCCGCAGTTGTAGTACATGACGAGGGACGTCGTAGGTTTCGGTTGCTCCAGCTTGCGGGACGATCGTATAGGTGAACGACCTCCCGATCTCCACTCCCCCGGTCTCGAAACGGTGAAGGCCTCCTCCCGAGTCGTAGCAGTCTGAGGGTCGGCGACAGTCGCGGCAGGAGTCGCGATCCCCGCCGATGCACAGACGACCGTCCGCTTGCGCTTGAGAACCTCGTGTGCGTGGATGCTTGTCGCAACCCCCAAGGAGCAGATGTCCATTTCGTCCGCCGTATTGATGGGGACTCCCAGGCCGTGAGCCAACGCCAGCAGCTGTTCTGTCACCATGGCGTCCTTCCCCTCCTTGTCCATGCGGGGAAAAGCGACGTCCGCCAGGGCGAGCAGTGACGTGCGATAGGCGAGTGTAGTTTCTCCCTCCATCTTCCGCCATTCGTAGAACTGGTGGCGACAGGTGGAGGGCGGTCCGAACACCTTAGCCATGAGGTGAAGCGCGGCCTGGAGCGTTGAGCGGGACGACCTCGGGGCGGATGTGAAGGCCGCGAGTGCGTCGTCGTCGAGCATCGCCGGCAGCGCGCGTAAGGCAGTATTGTCGGACCACCCCGACATCTCTTGATGTGCGAGGAACCTTCGTTGGAAGGCCCCCCAGTCGCCCCCATCCGCCTTGAACGCCGTCAGCGCGGGAAGTCTTTGTTGGAAGACCTGGTCGTCGTCCTCCGATGAACGTTTTTCCTGCGCGCCACTGTGGTTGACTAAAATGGCGGCTCCGTCAGCAGGCGCATGATGGAGAGTTTTGGCGCGCGCCGATGACGCGGGCTGTGTCGAGTGGAAGTCCCCGACCACGTGGTGTCCACGCTTCCCGCCAATCGATGGCGGACCATCAAATTTGGCGCCAATTTCAAAAATTTCAGAGCGAAGCGCGTCCTGGCGGGATTCCTCGGGCCGCACTCCCTCCTCCAACCTTGATGTCGTTTTCCCGCCTCCAGAAGCGATGATTTCTGCCAAGATGGAAGCGGCAGCAAGCAGCAACTCCGCCAGACGGGAGTGTGCGTCCTGGAGGCCGGTGTCGGAGGCGAGCGGAGCGTCGGCCATCGCCGCGAAGTGCTGCAGCGGCGGCATCTCTTCGTCCTCGCCTCCCGAGGCTTGCGGTTCAGGTACGTCGTCGTCCTCCCGATCTTGCGCGTGAGTACGGGTGGTCTTCCTGGTATCCATCCTTTTGAAGACAGGTTTACTTCTGACGCCAGTTGTAAAGTATGAACTTGGCGGGAGACGACTTCGCGGGTTGCACACCTTTTTATTAACGTCAACTTCTCTTACACGGGTGGCTAAGTACAGCCTGACACACAAGGCTCCCTAACTTCTCTTTACACGGGTGGCTAAGTACAGCCTGACACACAGAGCTCCCTAGGCTACACCCTCACGGGCTCTTACGCCCCGTAGCTCTCGGAACCCACCTAACCGGGGTATCCGTCTCGACTCTGGGTCCCACGGCCTCGTCCCACATGGACATCAGATCACGGGTCCCACAGCCTCGCCTCCGAACCACACAGCGTCCTGGCCCTTATAAGGACCGCAGGACCAGGGGTTTCGGGGCCCTATCTCTTCAGCTTCGTCTTCGATCTTCAACTGGTTATCAACTCCCCGAGTGCTCCCTCGCGTCCTCCTTTATAGCCCTAAATGCGGACGTCGTGGAGAGCACCCAGTCCAGTTGGCCAATCACTGCGTACTCCCTACGATCCTCTTTCCCACATGCTGTCAGCGCGCACAACCACGCACCTCGCGCTGCTCCGTGATCCATCACTGTCGGCGCGTGTCAAAACCACCCCTCTTGACGTAGCCACGCCCGGCGCGCTCATACGCACGCCGCCCCTTTGTCAGCACGTACCACCACTACACAAACATGACTCCTTGTAAAAAAGGTGTCAGTTTTCTTGCCAGATAAAAGGGTAAAAAACAATCATCAAAGACAGCCATGTCAGAGCTTTTTTACTGTAAAATTTAATGGTGACATGTCCTACTTTTTTACGTAACATAAAGGATACTAAGGCTAAGCACACCCTAGGATTGAACTTTTGTTGAAAAATGAAGCTCTAAAAATGTGGCCATTATTGGCCAAAAACGGCATAGGTTAGTATGCCCATTTTCTACATTGGGACGTGAACATTTCATCATAAAATGTTCCACTTTTAATCTAATACATGACATACTAATACGAAGGGTAAATACAATTGATGAATGAACTTTTGGTAGAAAAAGTGAAGCTTTGAAAATTTGGCTTATTTTGGTTAAAACCGGCATAAGCCAGTACCCGATTTTCTTTTTGGGGCGTGAAAGTTTAGTCATGAAATTTCCCACTTTTCAAGTAACATAGAGCATACTAATACTTAACAAAA